ATGTACTAGCGATAGAAATACATTGACAAGGGAGAAGAAAGAAAGCCTCTAATGTTTGAATGTTTGATTGGGGGTTTGGGAGGGTGGATTGGATTATCAATCCGTGGAAGATGCAACAAAATATCATAGGATTAGTAGTGTAGATGGCTTAGTAATCCTCATCTGTAGGGGGATTAGTTTGGGTGAATTTTTGGTGGAATTAGAAAAATAGTGAGGGAATTGAGTCTATTTCATATACAAATTTATTTTTTAAATTTTATTTTATTTTATTTTACCAATGCACCTATTTGTTTTATTTTTTTTAATATAGAAATAATTTACTTATTTATTTTATATAAAAATAATTTAACAATCTCATCACTAATCATCTTCCACGTTATCATCAAAACAACACACTTTTACTTAATCCCCTTACTAACAATCCCTACATTAACAATCTCTTCACTAACTATCATCTTCTAATAATCTTATCCAACTTAATCCACCAAACAAGCGTGACCTATGTATTGACTGATAGAAAACTTTATGGAACATAAACTAAAAACCATTAAAGATTCAATTCTATACATGAAAACTATATGAATTTCTACTATACAAAATAAGTAAATACATACCTTGATCCATGATAGTATGAAATTCTCTTGCAAGAAAGGGAAACCGTGAATGGAAGACCTTGATCTTTAAGTTCTTTACTTGTCTAAGATCTTCAAACCACTTCTCTCTCTCTAGGCGATGGGAGCCTTCTTGTGGTGGCAACTTGAGTTTTTGATGGAGAGTGTGGTTTGGGACCTTACACTATTTATACTAGTATTCTTCTCATCAAAGAATCCATTCATTCAATGAATTTCATTAAATAGATTAATGTATCTTATACATTCATGATACATAATGCATCTTCTATATTAATGAATTCATTAGATAGATTAATGTATCTTATATATTCATAATAGATACATAATGCATCTTTAAGATTCATTCATAATGAATCTATCACATTCAATGCATTATCATTAGTCTTCTATACATTATGTATATATAGGTGCATTCATCCATAATTAGTCACCATCTAATTGATGTACATGCATCTTACTTAATGAGATAGATCTAGTATAATCATGCATAAGCCACATTAAGCCATATTTAGGAAAAATTCTTACAATCTCCCACTTGGCTTGCATGATTATATTACGTCACTAGATTATCATAATATGGCCAACGTTCTCCCACTAGAAGATTGCACCATCACCATTAGATTCTGTTCAATGAAATTATTAGCACCAAATCATTGTAGTCAGTGATTTACACATTGATCAAAACTGTACAATGGTTACAGTGTTAATATTTTCCATCAACATGAATAAGTGAATCTTAAATCACAGAGATGACATTAACAACATAATGGTGATTAATGCTAATTCATCTATAACGGTCCCATTGTTTACATCTTCTTCTAAATTGTGCACAAGTATGAAGAATGAAAACAACAAACATAATCATTACTAACAGAAGATGATTATAACATAATATTTATCACGAACATAATACATTCATTTCAAGTCTAAACATGATAAACTTTCTACTAAGCCCATGCCCGCAACATGTTCTTGAAAGAGCTTAGGTGTGAGACCTTTAGTTAAAGGATCTGCTAACATGAGTGCAGTACCAATATGAGAGATGGAAACAGTCTGATTCAGAACCCTTCCTTTAACAACTAGATACTTGATATCAATATGCTTTGATCCTTCTGAAGTTTTGTTATTATTAGAGAACCGCACAACAGCATCATTATCACAGTAAATCTGTAAGGGCTTCGAAATTGAATTGACAAGTTGTAATCTAGATATGAAATTCTTTAGTCATACTGCATAACATGTGGTTTCATAACATGCTATGAACTTGCCTCCATAGTGGAAGAGGCTGTCAGAGACTGCTTATGACTCTTCCACGAAATGAGTCCCTTAGCAAGCGTAAAAATGTACCCAGAAGTGGACTTTCGAGTGTCTTTACATCCAGCATAATCAGCATCTGAATAACCAACCACTTCAAGGCTGTCTGTTCTTTGATAAGTGAGCATGTAATCCTTAGTGCCTTGTAAATATCGCAACACTTTCTTAACTGCTATCCAATGATCAAGTCCGGGATTGCTTTGGTATCGACCAAGCATACCAACTACAAATGCTATGTCAGGAAGTGTACAAACTTGAGCATACATAATGCTCCCAACTGCAGAGGCATAAGGAATTTCTTTCATTTGTTTCCTTTCTAAATTATTTTTGGGACACTGAAATTCACTAAATTTATCACCCTTAACTATAGGGGCAACACTAGTTGAACAGTTCTGCATGTTGAACCTTTTAAGAACCTTTTCGATATAGGCTCTTTGGGACAATCCTAAAATACCACCAGACCTATCTCGGTGAATTTCTATCCCAATGACAAAAGAGGCTTCACCAAGATCTTTCATTTCAAAATTTCTCGTAAGAAGTTTCCTTGTCTCATGTATCATTCCCAAATTATTGCTAGCAAGCAATATGTCATCAACATATAAAATTATAATGCAAATATTGCTCCCACTGATTTTAAGGTAGACACATTGATCAACCACATTATCCTTAAAATCAAATTTGGTGAGAACTTCATGAAATTTAAGATACCATTGTCGAGATGCCTGCTTTAAACCATATATGGACTTCTTAAGCCTACAAACCATATTTTCCTTGCTTTCATCTTGAAAACCTTCAAGTTGGTCCATGTAGACCACGTCATGCAAGTCACCATTCAAAAAAGTTGTTTTAACGTCTATTTGATGTAGCTCTAAATCATAATGAGCTACTAATGCCATGACTATTCTTAAGGAATCTTTATTAGAAACAGGAGAATAAGTTTCCTTATAGTCTATCCCTTCTTTTTGAGTGTATCCTTTAGCAACTAATCTGGCCTTGTATCTTTTGACATTACCTTTAGGATCACGCTTGGTTTTAAAAACCCATTTGCATCCAACAATTGTGGATCCCTTAGGCAATTCTATAAGATCCCAAACATTGTTGTCTTTCATGGATTTTAACTCATCTTTCATGGCATTTAACCATTGATTTGCATTTCCATTTTTCATGGCTTGGGCATAAGAAACAGGATCGTTCTCCAAGCCTATATCACACTCATTTAGGTAAACCTCATAGTCATCTGATATGGCTGGTTTCTTTTCTCTTTGTGATCTGCGTAAAGGTTGTTCTGCAACTGGGACAACTTCTTTTCCAATGTGAGAAATCTCTTGTGTACCAATAGGTTCAAGTACTACATTTTCATGGATAATCGTGGAAGGCATAAAAACACGATTTTCCTCCAAAGAAATATTTTTGAGATTTATACTCCCACTAATGTTTTCATCCTCTAAGAACACAGCATTTCTAGTTTCCACAATTCTTGTGCTATGAGTGGGACAATAAAATAGGATATCCAATGAAATAACAACTTATGGTTCTAGGGCCTAATTTCTTTATTTGTGGGTTAAAAATTTTTGCTTCAGCAAGACAGCAGGACAACCCCATACATGTAAATAATTCAAACTAGGTTTCCTACCAACCCATAACTCATAATAATTACAGGCACAGCCTTACTAGGAACCCTATTAAGAATATGTACTGCAGTTACCAGGCATTGTGTAGTTAGCAACAATACCATTCTCAGCCAAACATAAAGCAAAAACACTTGGATTTTGACTCGACTCAGTGAATCTACCATAATATTCACCACCTCTATCAGATCTTACACTTTTAATCTGTGTGCCAAGTTGATTTTCAACTTCAGCTTTATAGAGTTTGAACATATCCAGTGCTTCTGATTTTTCACGAATAAGATACACATAAGTATACCTAGAAAAGTCATCAATAAAAGTAACAAAATATTTATGTTCAGAAATAGTTGGAACAGTAAAGGGACTACATATATCAGTATAAATTGTGTCTAATAATTCAGTAGTCCTAGTAGCACCCTTTTTCTTTGTCTTTGTGTATTTTCCTTTAATGCAATTCACACAAGTACTAAAATCAAAAAAATCAAGTGAACTTAAAATTCCGTCTTTAATAAGATGTTCCATCATTTCTCTTGATATGTGGCCCAAGCGTTTATGCCACAACATGGATGAATTTTCATTCATTCGCTTTCGCTTTTTATTTACCAAGTCATTTACATTAAAGGATAAAAGAGATTGTGCATAAGTGGAATCTAAATTCAATGAATAAAGATTACCATATAAAGTACCAGAACCAATCATATGAGAATTGTGGAATAAAGAGACTCCATTATTTCCAAACTTAAATTCATAACCAGAGGAATCAAGTTGTGAAACAGAAATTAGGTTTCTAGTAAAAACAGGAACATAAACTGTGTTTACTAAATCTAAAATGAACCAGAGTCTAAAATTAGACGGAGGGTGCCAATAGCCTCAGCGCCCACTTCTATTCCATTCCCAACCATAATGGTTCGTTCTCCTTTATTTAGTTTCCGACTTGTAAGGTATCCCTGCATGGAATTTGTTATATGAATACTTGCACCAGTGTCAATACACCAAGAATTTGGTGGAACATCTACCAAAAAAAATTCATAAGACACAAAGCATTGAGTGTTACCTTTCTTATCCAACCAACTTTTAAAACCTGCACAGTCCTTTCTTATGTGACCTTTCTTTCGACAGAAATGGCATCGAATCTTATTTTCTTCATTAGCCTTGTGAGTTTTATCATTTGCATTCTTCTTCTTCTTCTTACTTTTGCCTTTCTTGAAAATCTTTTTGGTTGGACCCAAGGTGGTAAGGTGAACCATATCAGGCTTTTCAGCTTTAAGCCTCTCTTCTTCTTGAACACACATGGCAATTAACTCACTCATCTTCCACTTATCTTTCTGCGTATTATAATTGATCTTAAAAAGACCAAATTGCGCAGGAAGAGAAGTCATAATGAAATGAACGAGAAAACCTTCAGAAATTTCCATGTCCATTCCCTTTAATTAAGGCCATGTCTATGTTCACGAACACCACTTATACCATCATATTTCATTGACATCATTTTAATCATGAGAGTACTAGCAAGGGATTTGGAAGTTCCAATGAATTGTTCTTCAATAGATTTCATATAACTCACTGCACTTTCAGAAATAGTGATTGCTCCTTGAATTGCTGGCGTAATTGAGCCTTTCATAATCATTAGGCTTAAGCGATTAAAGCGTTCCCATTTTTCATATAAAGCCATGTGTTCCTTAGAACTTGTATCATTAGGCTTTGTAGGAGCTGGCTCTCTTAATGCATAGTCTAAATCCATAATTCCCAAAACAATTCCCATTTGTTCCTTCCATTTCTTAAAATTAGTTCCACTCAAAGCTTCAATACCAGACAAGTAACTATTAATGGCAGTAGGATTTATTCCTGCAAACACATAATATCCATTACATAAAATAATCAAGAAAATTACTTTTCACATCTCATAAAAATAACACCACAAGTTAAATATATCTAACTATAAAACATAATTAGTTAGATACGAAATCAAGTTATCCTTCCATTGGGCCGAATAACAATATATTTTAACAATTCATAAAAGTAAATGAGATGACTAAAAAAAATGAACAACATAAAATAAAATAAAATAATCATCAAGACCGTAACGAGTTTATCACCGTTGGACAAAAAAACTCAAATGTCTCTTATTTTATTTTATTAACTAAAGCACGTGAGAAGTTTATCACCGTTGGGCAAAAAAACTTATTACTATATTTATTATACTAATCATCTCGGTTGTTCAAACATACATAGTGCTGAACCTCCGTTGGGCTGATCAACAATGTTTTAACTCGTAACGTGTGTAACAAAACATTATAAGTGCATAAAATATTATCTTAATTACCACTTGTTCAATAATTTTCAATTTTTATTTTAATATCAATAGAATAAAAGATTGGCCAAAAATAAAAATAAAATTGGACAAGTGTAAATCAAGGTTTTGCACTTGTTACACCAAACATCATCATAAAATAAAATTCATACTTATACGTTTCATGCATCAGAATTGAGAACCATGGCTCTGATACCAATTGATAGAAAACTTTACGGAACATAAACTAAAAACCATTAAGGATTCAATTCTATACATGAAAACTATATGAATTTCTACTATACAAAATAAGTAAATACATACCTTGATCCATGATAGTATAAAATCCTCTTGCAAGAAAGAGAAACCTTGAATGGAAGACCTTGATCTTTAAGTTCTTTACTTGTCTAAGATCTTCAAACCACTTATCTCTCTCTCTAGGTGATGGGAGCCTTCTTGTGGTGACAACTTGAATTTTTGATGGAGAGTATGGTTTGGGACCTTACACTATTTATACTAGTATTCTTCCCATCAAAGAATTCATTCATTCAATGAATTTCATTAAATAGATTAATGTATCTTATACATTCATGATACATAATGCATCTTCTATATTAATGAATTCATTAGATAAATTAATGTATCTTATATATTCGTAATAGATACATAATGCATCTTTAAGATTCATTCATAATGAATCTATCACATTCAATGCATTATCATTAGTCTTCTATACATTATGTATATATAGGTGCATTCATCCATAATTAGTCACCATCTAATTGATGTACATGTATCTTACTTAATGAGATGAATCTAGTATAATCATGCATAAGCCACATTAAGCCATATTTAGGAAAAATTCTTACATTGACTTCATATCTAATACATATATTCCTTCTGAAAATAAAAATTTTGTTACGCATAAACATATTCCTCATGAAAATGGAAATTTGTTACACGTATTAGCTCCTATAGCCTAGCCAATTGATTTTTTATATTTTTTTTTAGATGATAGTTATAGTTGAATTAGTTGAGACTTTTTGGCAATACTCATTTTTCAAGAGGGTTGCTTTTAACTCCTACATATTTAATTTGGCCCTCCTAATTCTTTGAACCCCCACCTAGCAAAATGAGTCGGGTGCCTCTATTTGCACACCACCTTTTATCTCAAGGCACACCACTACTCAAGGCACACTTTTAATAAATTGATAAATAAGCAATTTGCTCAATACACACCACAACTTTCCATCTTTACCCTTACTCACACACCCTATTCACAATCTTTACATCTTTACCCTCACTCACACACTTCACTCCCACCCACGATCCATCTCTCCCTCCTTTCTCTGTTTGATTATCAACCCCCCCCCCCACACCAAAAAACAAAACCAGTGGTGAAGACTCCTCAAGACGCCGGTGGTGCTCGTTGTCATCACAGTTGGAAACCACATTGGAGATACAGTAGGTGAGAATTCTCATTTGGCTTAGATTTTAGGGTTTTATGTACTTTTTTCATTGCCATGGGATTTGTATTTGAATATTTCAGTTTGCGAACCATTCGACTCTGGACTTTTGAACCTTAACAATTTGTTCGGACTATTTCTGTCGAACCTTAGCCACTTGTCCAGAGTGTTTCTTTTAAACATTAACCATTTGTTCAACATTTTAGTGTTGAGCCTAACTACAAAATTCGGTTGTAGACGGTCGAACATAATCAGTTTGTTTGGAGTTAGAGTGTCAAACATAATCTACATAAACCAGTAGCTCCCTGATTCTTTAATATGTAGAAACACTATACTAAATATCGGAAAATAATAGTTATTTTAAGGAAGATATTCATAGGAAGGTAAAGTAATTCTTATCTGTTTGGAATCAGAATGTTAAAGTTGAAGGAATTCAAGTTAATAGATAGGCAGGTCAATTGGAAAAGTTGCCATATGAGATATCTGACCGATGTGAATCTATAGTGCTCTGTTTAAGCATAGTGCATAGTGCATAGTGCATGGTGCTCTGTTGAATTATTACACATGGAACCTGAAAGGTAAAGGATATGTAAGGAGAAGAATAGAAAGAGGAATTTAAACCTGGACAAAGAAAGGCAGCATAAACAACAAGCAAAAAAACTTTTTATTTTGTGTTAAATTAAACAGCTAACGGCAAATCTTTTATTTTTCTTTAATAAACTAAACAACATGCAACAAATCATATTCATTATGTACAGATATATCATCAATTCATCCTAACAATAAAGAAATAAATTTACCAACAAGTGATAAGCACTAGTGTTAGAAGTGTAAATCAGCTTACGGGAGTGAGCAAAATTGACATTTTGACATAAAAGCTCAATTTGGATATAAAAGGAAAGCTGCAATGAACATACATTGATCTACATTCTACACCACATGAGAGGTATACAGCTATCAAATCATGAGAATAAATCCCCAAGGGATTGGCCAAGCGTTAAATATTTGAGAATAAGATTAAGGTTTACTTGATTGTTTAAAAATTAAAAAATAAAAAAAAAAAGAAGAAGAAGAAAAAGAATAAGATCAATGCCAACCACCTAAAGATAAACAAGATTAAAGCAGAGATAATAATTCCAGCCCAATCCAACCACCCCAAATGGCAAGTTAAGCCGCGATAACTGCCTCAAAGAGTGTAGCTCACGAGTTCAAATCTAGTATACTTGTTAACCCCCTCCCCCCTCCAAGTTAATTTAAGCATTCTTTGGAAACTAATGCATAGTGCTCTGTTTAATGGTGTGCAACTTAGAAAAATTACTGTGCTAGTTATGCATAAATGATTTGTGTTACTTCTGTTAACTTTACTATTTTCTATTTCATTTTCAGAAATGGATGACCCTTTGCGTATTCCACCCAATATCTCAGAGAGACACCATCGTACATTAACAAATCCTGCTCATGGCCGAGGTCGATAGGGGGGTCAAGGTATAGGTTGGGGTGATGATATTGTGTCGGAGGAAGCACCTCTTGCAAAGGGATGTGATTGATAATGGTTCAGGAGATAATGATGATGATGATGTCGATCAAGCTGGCGAGGAGGTACTCACTAGTTCGTTTTCTAGGAGGCTGTTAGATCCATTAGTATTGAAGAGCTTCAAAACACATATTGCAGCAGCTATATGGGAGCAAAAGGTAGTATATATTTTTTCCATGTTTCATTCATTTAATTATTTATTGAACCAAATTATTTATGTTAATTATTACTTACATTGTAGGAGAGGAATCCCTTAAGGTGTTATAATCATGCATCTAAGATTCTTGAGTAGCGGTGGTGGTCAAGAACTGACAATAGAAGGTTTAGAGACATTGTGCAGTAATCAGGCCTATCTTCTTTGGTCCATTGCACATATCGGTTCGTGAATAGGATGGTCGTATCTACATTTGTTGAGCACTGGCAACCAGAGACAAATACTTTCCATTTGATAGTTAGTGAGATGACAATGACGTTGGATGATATGGGTACCATCTTAGGGATTCCTATCACAGGTAGATCAGTTAGTGTTGCAACTTTGACAAATGAACAGACACATGCACTTGTGGTAGCTGCCTTGGGAGTTGATGACGATAAAGCAACTGATGAGTTATCATCTGCTAGGGGACAATCAATAAAGATGGAGTGGTTATGAAGCAAATTCAGTGGTTCCAAAGATTTAGACACCGAGGAATCTATAGCATGTGCCGCCAAAGCGTATTTGCTATTTCTGTGACGCCCCGATTCTACACTATAGGTTGCAGTCAAGGGAGAGTCACTAATGAGTCCTATGGTCAATAACCAAGTAAGATCCCAGATCGCCGGAGGAGTCAAAATAGCCTCCCTTCTAAGTCCAACTTTCTTAGGCAGCGCACTACCCTTTTGACAGATCTTAAAGGGTATTGACACAAGGTCTCATAAGTAACGAAAGGGTTCATACATAGAATATATAACAATCAATATATATATAACTCAAAAGATAGTCTCATTACATTACATTCCAGAAGAAAGCTTAAGTCTTCAAGTGAGTCTTTACAAAACATCCAAAAAGAAACTTCTAATTTTTTTTTTTCCTGGGATAACCAAAAGTCTTCGAAGGTTTCCAGCTCATCGTCTCCCGCTATAGGTTTCGCGTCATCACCTGGCATGATACGCCGTGAGCTTTGAATGCCCAGTAAACACACACACACCCCACCCATTTTTCCCAGTCCAATACACAATCACAATTATAGCACCAAGTAGTAAAGCATGATATTCAAATAAATAAATAAATAAATAAAGGGTTAAGTTAGATGTTAGTAAACTAGAAATCCCCCAAAGAGATTTCGTCCTCCCAACCACAAGAATCGGACGCGGATTATTCAGTATGCCCCCTCTTTTGTTGCTTTGTTGCAGACCTAACCTCGGATGCCTACCAACGGTTATGTACCGTGTAGCGCCAACTGCAGGGCCTCAAAAGAGACAGTAAAATAGGGCCTTGCCCGAAATCCCTCCTTACACCAAACCACCTAGGGTCCGAATACAACCGCTCCGTTCAAGGGTTCCGAAAATCACTTGCGCAAGACTTTAACTTTCAAATAGGGAACGCATCCCAAAAATCCATATATCACATTTCTCATCTTTTTATTATCCAAGTGCTTGAAAACCCAATACCCTCCCCATTAGGTTTCCCGTTGAATTAAATATTTTACAACAAGGTTAGTCCAACTTATAAGACAACAATATCCATATAAGCATGCATTCTTAAGATGAGAAAGGTAAATAACATAACCACAACACATAATATCATGCCAAGATATGATCATAAGCTAATAAGCAATCTCATGAACTCAAGGGTATAAAACATCCACACATAATAAAATTTCCAGATTTAGCGTCGCATAAAGATTAAAATGAAAGGTCTATTTTAGATCCTTTACTGGACTTGGCCTTCCTATGGTTCGTAGGGAATTTGATCTAGTTTCTAGAACATTTTTCGGAAATGGGATTACTTTTCCAGATTTTAGGTTATTTAGAAAATAGTCCAGCGCTGTCCAGAATCTGTCCAGATCCGTCGACCGTTACGAAAACTTGTTTTTCTTGCAAACCGCTTAATGTTTTTCAATGAAACCAATTTTTGTTGAAAGCTAACACCTTAAGGAAGGTTTTGACATAAAATAGTAGTCCAGATTATTTTTGTACATTTTTCTAGAATTTTTGAAAGTGGGCTGCAAAAACAGATTCTAAGGTGGACTGTCCAAAACAAGAAGATTTATGAGAAAGGGTTCCACCAAGGGAAAGTTTTCATTTATTTTATCAAGAAAACATGCTAACTAACATATATTTACTCAGAAAGTT